TATATATATAAGAGCCTGGGCTATATGTTACATACAACTTGTTTCGATGCTCACGTCGGGGTTCCATTTCGGGGTCTCGCCAGAGAAGGGGGAAATGGAGGAAGTGGAGATGAGCTGCTCCGGCGAAGCGGTTGTAGATTAGATTTTAAGCATAGGGCGGTTTATTTGAGAATTTTTTCCTAAAATATGCACTTTTGACTGCTACTATGCAGAACGCAAAAAAGCATTACAGAACGACTTATACTTCGCTTATTCGAGGTATGAGTTGAGTTACTGAATTAAAATTACTATTATTCGGAGTTCATTACTTAAATTTTCGCTCAACTATTCCAAATTATCTGTTAAAGTCACTTTTCTTTCTTTTGTAACAACAAAGTCACTTAACTATGCCTATAGCACTCAGAAGATCACTCAACTAGATTTTTCAAATTTTTGATTGTAAAATACCTATTTTACCTTCTAAATTTTTTTTTCTTTTTAAATATTAATTTTTTTTCTCTTTTTAATTTACATTGTGGACTTACCTATAGAAAAATATATTTTATTTATAAAATAAAAAATAAAAATATATATTATAAAAATACCTTTATTTAATTAATTATTTTTATATATCGTGCATGGAATATATATTTTACAACATTTATTTTCTTCATTCTCAATTTTGTAAATAAATTTTTTAATTTTTGTTGTTAATACTAAAATTATTACGGACAAATTATTCTAATTATTTTTTTTACTATGCTCATTATTTTGTTATTCCAGCATTATATATGCTTAAATATATATTTTTTAATTTATAAATAAAATTTATTTATTATATAAGTAAGTCCATAATATAACTTAAAAAGGAAAAAATCATAATATTAAAAAGTTAAAAAAAAATAAAAAGAAGATAAATGTTTATAATTTAAAGGGTAAAATAGGTATTTGACAATCCAAAATTTGGAAAATCTAGTTGAGTAACCTTTTGAGTGCTATATGCATAGTTAAGTGACTTTGTTGTTACAAAAGAAAGAAAAATAATTTCAACAGATAATTTGAGATAGTTGAGTGACCATTTGAGTAATGAACTCCGAATAATAGTAATTTTAATTCAGCAACTCAATTCATATCTCGAATAAATTTATGCGAAGTATAGGTCGTTCTGTAATGCTTTTTTGCGTTCTGCATAGTAGCAGTCAAAAGTGCATATACTCTTTCTCGGTACCAATTGATTTGATACTTTTTGTGACTTTGCTCGTCAATAGTTAACTTAAAATTTTCGAATTGAATGGACTATATTAATAGCTTGTTTAGATTAATTTTAGTTACATAAAATCTGGTATAGGTTACATTTTTGGTCGTATCAAAGTGGCTCACGAATAATTTAGAAATATTATATCAACTTTAAAGTTCAATTATTTGATTATCAAGAAAGGAAAGTGACAAACATTTTTATTTTAAATAAAGGAAGCATTTTTCTTAGAACACTTTGAACAATATTTTAGTGTATTGTTCAAGATTCAATTGTCTTTAGTTAGCTTTAAAAATAACCTGATTATATATATTTTCAGACCTATATCACATTACAATAAAGTGAAAATGATATTGATACCAATGTTATGTTTTCTTAATATGCCAAAAAAATAAGTTTTAGTTTCCCCTAATCTATCAAATTATAATTCAAAAAATTTCTTCATTTCTTTTATTTTTGTAGCACTTAAACCAAAATACATGTTAATAAGTTACTTCGTTCCCCTTTTAAATCTATTAAATCAATTCAAATGCACATTTATGTAAGAACAAAAATCTCTCTGACAAAAGGGAATATAACAGAGATGTTTTCTTGCACATAGTGACAATCTTGCATATACTCATGTTCTTGACTTTGGAGTGAAATATTTAAGTGGAGTTTGATATTATTTCGAGCTTTGACATCGAAATAGGCGGAGAAAAAAGAGAGAACGTTTTTATATGTTGACTTTGTCTTGCACAATAAGTACGAGGATGAGATGAGAAGGCAAAGGGCAAATTCAAATCAAACATTCTAATATTGCACACGTATAGAACATACAACACAAATATATAAATAGTTTGTTACAAATTCCCATCTTCCTCTATTTCACCTTTCAGCTCCCTTTTAGGCGTTCATTCTCTCTTTGAGGTCAGGTTATGCATCTTCATTTGTGACTACATCCTTTCTTGAATAAAAAATCTAAACATATTTTATGCTTTCATGCAATATTGTTACAAAACAAACTCAAAGATATTTTTTGTTGGCTTAATTACTACTCTTTGTATCTGTCAGATCTCTAAAAGATCATTCAAACAAATTGGCGATCCATGGATTTCTTCGATAAATTAAAGAATTGGATATTGGTCTATAGCTTGTTTCTTCAATGCGCTAGTGGATTTTATTTGCCTGGTAGTTTCCCACACAAATATAATATTGGTAATCAATTTTCCGTCAAAGTGAATTCCTTGACATCAATTGATACAGAAATACCTTATGGATATTACAGCTTACCTTTTTGTAAACCTTTAGAAGGTGTTAAGGACAGTGCTGAAAATTTAGGTGAGCTTCTTATGGGAGACAGAATTGAAAACTCACCTTATAGATTCAAGATGCACGTAAACGAAAGTGAAATATTTTTGTGTCAAACAAATGCATTGTCAGCTGATGAATTCAAAGTTTTGAAAGAAAGGATTGATGAAATGTACCAAGTTAATCTGATTCTTGATAATCTTCCTGCAATTCGATATATGAATAAAGATGGTTATTTTCTTAGGTGGACGGGTTATCCGGTTGGTATTAAGGTTAATGATGTGTATTATGTGTTCAACCATTTGAAATTCACTGTGTTGGTTCACAAGTATGAGAGGAGTACTGTGCCAGGTGTGATTGGGGATGGAGATGGTGCTGAGTTAATTACAACAGACGATAAGTCTATCACGGATACACCAAGTTATATGGTTGTTGGATTTGAAGTTGTCCCCTGTAGCTTTCAACATACCACAGATTTGCTTAAGAATCTAAAACCATATGATAAGTTTCCTTCACCTATTAATTGTGACCCGGCGACAGTAGCCGTGATGATTCAAGAAGGTAAACCATTGGTATTTAGTTATGAGGTAAACTTTGTGGAGAGTGACATTAAGTGGCCATCTAGATGGGATGCATATTTGAAAATGGAAGGTTCAAAAGTTCATTGGTTTTCGATTCTTAATTCTATGATGGTTATAACATTCCTAGCAGGAATAGTGTTGATTATTTTCTTGAGGACTATTCGAAGAGATCTAGCTCGATATGAAGAGCTTGATAAAGAGGCTCAGGCTCAGATAAATGAGGAATTATCAGGATGGAAACTTGTCGTTGGCGATGTCTTCAGAGTTCCAGAGAACTCGACACTCCTTAGTATGATGGTTGCTGATGGATGTCGCATTTTAGGAATGGCAGTTGTAACAATATTATTCGCGGCTCTTGGATTTATGTCTCCAGCCTCTCGCGGCACCCTTATTACTGGCATGCTTTTGTTCTACATGTTTTTAGGTATAATTGCTGGATATGTTGCTGTTTGGCTTTTGAAGACACTGAATGCTGGTAATACCAATGGATGGTTTTCAATTTCCTGGAGAGTTTCTTTCTTCTTTCCTGGAATTGCATTTCTTATACTAACTGTTCTGAATTTCCTCTTATGGGGAAGTCATAGCACTGGTGCAATTCCTTTCACTACATACATTGTTCTGTTGTTACTGTGGTTTTGCATTTCTATGCCTCTTACACTCATAGGTGGATATATTGGTACAAAGGCTCCACATCTCGAGTATCCTTGTCGTAGCAATCAAATCCCTCGTGAAATCCCAGCAAATCGATTCCCTACTTGGTTGCTGGTAATTGGAGCAGGAACACTTCCATTTGGAACTCTATTCATTGAACTCTTCTTCATCATGTCTAGCATATGGCTCGGTCGTGTTTACTATGTGTTCGGGTTTCTGTTGGTGGTACTGATCCTACTAGTGGTGGTTTGTGCTGAAGTTTCTTTGGTCCTGACTTACATGCATTTATGTATGGAAGATTGGAGATGGTGGTGGAAATCATACTTTGCATCTGGCTCAGTCGCGATCTACATATTCTTCTACTCCATCAACTATCTTGTTTTCGATCTCAAGAGTCTCAGCGGACCTGTCTCGGCCATGCTCTACTTAGGTTACTCGCTTTTAATGGCTCTTGCTGTTATGCTAGCAACTGGAGCTATAGGTTTCTTGACGTCTTTCTTCTTCGTTCATCGTCTCTTCTCTTCAGTGAAAATTGACTGAAGTGACAGACTTGAGTTCCATTTTGCTGATAACATGAAGATCAAGTGGAGACCAAAATTAACCATTTGCAAATTTTGCTAGCTTTATAGCACTTCTTCAAAATGTTTCCAATTTGTTGTCCTTACTGTTTCATACATTTGAAAGGAAATAAGATTAGTATCTGAGAAATTCTGAGAGTGTGTATGAAGTAAGTTTCATACTAGCAATAATATATGGGAATTTGCAGGCACAACACATAGCTTTTTGCAAAACATTTCTAATGGTATTCAAGAATCTTATTCATGTGGTGTAATTTGAAGACATTTTTAAATTTTAATGAACAGTTGGAACACTTTCTTCCTAAGGAGCTGATGCATATAAGTCTCCACTCTCCACTAGTATTTGTTGTTTCATTGCAGAACCTTATATGTTAGTCGACGATTAATTTAATTGTTATTTTTGCTTATCTAACTGATTAACCTTTAAATGTTGTTATCGTTTATTTCAGTTCTTATGTTAAACTTGACTAATTTCAATTCCATTTGGGAATAATTCAATTGCACGTGGTCAATCCATGCATAGTTACAGAAATATATACTCGAGCAACAATAGTTTCCATAAATGTATTAGATGTAAAGTTCACAGCCAACATAAACATGTTGATTTTTTTTCTCTTAAATAACTTATTAGCTATACTTTCTATGTGGATTAACTTCTAGTATGCATTGTGGCAGAGTTATTAGTACACTGAAATATTTAGCTTAGCAACTATTTAATAATAACAAACATTATAATTGATTTACGTAGCATACATATATGCACATTTCTCTTGGTTTATAAGATCCCATGAGAATTGAGAGATGGATATTGCATAAAATACTGAAGGAAAGAACCATGATTTCAAAGAGTAAAGTCTTCAACATTTGATAATCATTGCCCTCTTCTGCTATTTTCTTTGCGTTCTACTATGTAATTAAAACTTCTTAACGTTAATTTTAGGAATGTGATATTGTTAGATTTTATTTTAATATACAACCTCATATGTAATGTAATACGTTATATACCTAACATGCACGTTTTATTACCAAATTTCAAATAATGCTTTAACTGATTTGACAAGGGTGGCTATAGTGTTCGTATCTCCAAAGTCCAGGGGGCAAACTAAAAACCCCGAATATTTCCGGTACAGAGGTGAAATGCTTTTTCAGGTTAGGGGTAACCGAATAATTTATTAAAAATTCGTAACCGAACAAGACACAAGCTGCTAATAGTTCCCTTCCTCATAGTTCCTTCTTTCGTCGATCAGAACCTCTTCCCCCTTTTCCGACTTTCTTCGCCAATTTTGACGGCGAAAGGATCAGAATATTGCTTATTTGGTAAAAGTGCTGCGCTCATCGTCTGAGAAAAAAGCCCTAAAAGTTGGATTGCCCTTATCAGATTCCCCTCCAAAATTTTCTGATTTTAGGTAATTGTTTAACCAATCTATTGTAATTATTTCTAGTTTTGAGTTATGAGCATAATTTATAGCGAGAGAGTGCATATTATTTATCATCTTCTACCATTTTCTCTGTTTTAATTTTTTGTTTTGTTTTTGGTGTTTGGGTTCATGGGTGCATTTCTTTTTTTACCCTTTTTCCTCTGCTTCACTTGCCTAGTTTCACGCTGTTTCTGCTCGTGCTAGAGGTAGAGCCAGGATTCAAAGCTTATGGGTTCGGGATTCTAGTTTTTTCTAACTTAGTGGGTTCTAATTAATAAATTGTACATATTCAATCAATACTTTAAGACAATACACGGTTTGAAACAAAGCTACTGGCTGTGGCCGAACCTGTTATCAAAGCACTAGCTCCGCTTATGTGTACTGAAGTTTTATGCTTATGGAAGCAGAATTGGACCTCAGCTTGACAAGTTTGATTTTATTTTTGATTTGAGAGGAAACTGATTTAGAATAGGAAAGTTTAATTTTTTAAATAAGTTTAAAGATATCAAGAATAGACTATAGACAGAAACCTGACTTCATAATAAGATCAAAGCAAGTACAAACTATTATCATCAGTTAAAGAACAAGTAAAATTTGAATATGTTTAAAATATATACGCACCTTGAAAATCTTTTTAACCTTCAACGATTCCTTAAGATTTTAACCAGACTGTAATGGTTCATAAACTGTGTAAAATGACATGATGCATTCACCCTTAAATAGTTGGAAGAAATCGTATTCATCAAATACGACTTGAGTTACAAAGTACACAGGTCAATCACACAGGTATAGCTGTGTACTATAAACAAAGATAAAACTCAAATGGGAAATGCAATTTAGAAAATGCATTCCTCCAATGCTACTTAAGTAAAATAAGCTGACTGCAAAAAGCCTGAGTACAATATGTCGTAATCAGGCCTCTGCTTTCTTCAGCTCAGGTATTAGAATCGCTCTTCTTTTACCATTATTTCTTATAGTCTAAGATGATCACGGCATCATTGTTCCGTCTAATGCTTCATGTTAAAACTAAGGAAAGTGTGGGACTATCTTTATCTTCGTTTATTAAGTTCCTAGTTCTTGATGAAAATATTGTTGCTATATTTATGTACGTTTTTTTTTGGAGTTTGCAATTGAGTGATCCTATGTTGATAACTCTTATGCATATAACGTGTTTGAAGAACCTTATAAAACAAAGTGTTTGAAGAAAGTTCTCTGTGATGTTTGGATCTGGTGTTTTGTTTTAGTGCCTTAGCCTTATCTAGAGAAGTCGGCTTAGATCTCCTTTCGTTTCTTTCAACAATTGTTCTGGAATACCTTGACAACTAATCCCCTATATTTCAAGGGGAACTGTTATGCTACTTCATTGTGCTTCCCTTTTTATTTGAAAGAATTGTTCTCTAGATGTAGAATGTCATGGTCCATTTGCCAAATAGCTTGCGGAAAGGTTTTTAGTTTCTAGCAAGTTTATGCTTGCATATTTTGCGTTCTGACACACGGGAAATAGTATGTGTTGTGGATCAATAAGTACTATCAAACAGAGGACAGTGCAAATTATCTAGGTTGAGTCTCTTTAGGTTTAGTGCAGATTATCTTGATCGGCCGTGAAGTTGTACAGAATGCACTCAACCTCTCTTGCCAACGCCCCTTTCTCTGTCTTTGGTGTTTTCCTTTTACTCCTTCAAGTAGGCGTGCCTTCAGAAAAGTACAACAGATGGGGACAATTCCCCTTTACTTCTCTTGTATCGTTATCAATGCAATACCAGGATTGTGATAATCTAGTAAGCTTTGTGCTATGCTTTTGTGTATTCCTTTCTGTTTATTTTGTATAGGTCAGATTTTTTGGAGGGAGATCCGAAAATTTCATTCCAGTGAGGTTTTAACTTCCATTCTTCCACTTCATCCTTTTTGACACCATTAAAACCTTAGGAGCGAGCAACAATTGATTTTGATAGAATAAGTTGTTCAACATAAAATCTGTAGTATGTCATGACTCGTGGGACTTAACTTCTTTTCTTCTTTTTCCCTTTTAAAATAATTCGAAGGCAATTCATTCACAAGCTAGCTAACATTTTTAGACATACCCTACTAAGTTTATATCTAGGGTCTGCTCCTACTGGGAAGAGGAACGCAGTTAATGCACTAAAACACTTCTAAGAGCACGTACATTTATTGAGCACATGGACAGCTGCCAGAACATTACTTCTAGCACATTTCTACGCTCTAGCATAAGAAGTGATGATGAATCAATCAGGATCTGATGTTTTATCCTCCTTAATTTATGGTATCACTCATTATTTACGAGATGTGCAGAACATGTCAACCGAGAAGAGTCCACTTGAGCAAACAGCACCTGCTGTTGCATCATCATGCCGAAAGAAGAAGTCTGAAAGTGCCACGTTTTTGGAGGATGTAAAGGATCACATTGATGAGTTTATAAATGCCTCAATGGATGAACACAAGACTTGTTTCAAGAAGACCATCCAGAAGGTTAGTTCCAGATCAAATAGCATTACAGACTGTTTCTTTTTCTTTTTTAGGCATTATGGATTATCCTTAAAAGCAGTGCTCTTATATGGTTATGCCTTCAGATGTTTGGGATGTCTAAAATTGTTGCTGAAAGAAATGCTGAAGCAAAGGAGGTTGAGAGCTCACTTCCTCTCCGAACTGTTGTATCCGAGTAAAAGATTCAACGTGGAAAGAGGAAAAGGAGGGTGAGGTTGGAGGGTCAAAAGTGCATGCAATCCAAAGCCATTCTCTTGCAAGTTCTATCGTGCTATCCACATGTATAATAAACAAAAATTTGAGATTCTTTTGCCTAAGAACCCTTTCTGCGTTTGCATCTGGCTGGCTTTACCACACATTAGCCATGCCTAGATAAGACGTTTCAATAACTTTTTGATGAATCTTCAAAATGATTGTTTGATCTTTGGTTTTTATGGTTTGAGCTCTGCTTTTTCTGTTAATACATCCTTCTTGTTTTCGCTCTGTTCCATACTCTATGCATTCTCTAGTTCTGGAGTGTATTACAGATATCATCAGCTTGTAGTGGTCAAGTTTTCAAAGAATGCCTTTAGCTCCAAACCCTGAACAACAAAAAGTGCCCCTTCTAAAATTCCCGAGCCTGCTCCTATGCAGATTAGATAGAAAGGTCCCTTCTTTTGCCTTCATTTTATTTTATTTTGTCGTTCTCTTTTACAACTTTCAAGTAGTTCTAACTAGAACTTGTCTCAGTAGTGCTTCAACACAAATGCCGCAATCCTTAGTTCAAGCTCACTAATCTTAAAGCTGGTTTGGATAGATAGATAGGTTTTATGTATTTGAAATTTATGGCTCTAGGTTCTTTTACATTTATATGAATTTAAAACACAAGCCCAAACATAAGTTGATTTAAACTAATATTTTGGGTTCCTGGCGACAATGATCTTCAAGCAAAAACAAAAAGAATGAAAGAGGAAAACGATGACTCAAAAACTTCATATATACTCCTAAGAAATTTCATATAATACTACCGGGGTGGATATATAGGGGAAATTATTTGGACACGTGAACACATGGTCTCTATGTAAAATTAGATATTTTATGTACATATTTTTTAAAATTTGTATAATATTTATTGTCGATATCCATGCTCTAAGAAGGTTGAAAGGTATATTTGGTTGAATGTTGAGTTATTTACCAAGAGGAGTAGGGATCAATTCTCACTTACTAATACATTTTTTTCTCCTTATTTTCTAATAGTGCACTCATGTTCTAAAAGTCCTAAATCCACCTCCAAATAACAAATGATGTGTTTGATTTCTTTTCCTATAATTTCAGTACTACGTAAAAATTGAAAGTGAATACATTCTTACATGTAAGTTACCTTTTGTTGGATGGCAAAAGGGGATGGACCTAACTTGGTAAAATGTGAGATAACAGTTCTAGCTGTGAGTCACTGTTTAATTCTCCTTTAGCACTTAAATTTACAGGTTAGTTATGATTTTGACTAATATTACCACAAACTTTCCAAGTCACATCAGAAGTGTTTTTTTTTTTCCTCCTGCTCTTATACTTGAGTTTTAACCCCGGCTAAAGAACATGATAATTGATTTTCAGTCTTAAAAGATTGCGAAATCAAAGGCTTTTTGGGAATCACATTAAAGATTACTAACTAATCAAATACTGTAGTATTTTTTTGTTGTTAAATTATAGAATTATGAATTTTATTATGTTAATATTAAAGCTTACTATTATTTTGTTTAACGGTTCATGGGTAATTAACAGTTAAATAAACTAATAAGCTTTAAACGAATTACGGGATGGGGTATCATATGAAAGATAGAAGATTGAAGGAACAAAAAATGAGCATCTTGCATTAAATACGTTCGACTCTGAATGTCCCCATTTGGATTAGGTTGTGATAAAAGGAAACAAATTGGTCAGAAAAACATCCGCTGACCAAATCATTCATTCGATTCGTTTCTTTCTATTAGGATCCTCTGTTTTTTCACGTTACATCAACAATTGACAAACCAAAATAAAAGAAACATTAAAATCTATTCACTTATGCTCAAAATGATATACTCTCTCAACTTTGTATAGAAATAAATTTGGTCTCACCTAAGAATATTTCAGAAGATAGAGTTTAACTTATGCGTAGTGATAGTGTAAAATTTGTAAATACTGATAGGTTAGAGTGATTTATGTTGGGTATGCAATCAATGTAAATACTGGTAGTTGAGAGGATTGAAAGCCTATAAAGTGTAGGAATTTCTTAATGGTGTGATGCCTTTTGCGAAAAATTGTGTGGGTTTGGCCTAAAGCGGATAATATTACACCATGTTAAGAACATTATTGGTCCGTTTGCCCGTTTTAGCCCCCAGTGGCATACAATGAATCTCGAAAATTAACATGTGGATCTTGGTAATGAGCCACATGGAACTTGGTTCCAGTACGTGGAACAATATCCCATACTGAACTATAAAGTATAAATTTCTCTTAATGATGTGAGATCTTTTGAGAAAATCGAGCTGGCTTTACCCAAAACGAACAATGTCACACCTTATTAAGAACCTTATTGCGTTTAGCCCAACAATTTACAACAACACGTAATTGTCTATAATATATAAGTCTAATTTGATAATTTAGAAAATAAAGTAAACAACCTTTTGCGATAGATAAAAGTATTTTTATTAGTTTGAGTATGCTATCTAAAGAATAAATTCAAATCAGAAATGATATGGTTCTACAAAACTACAAAATGAAGGGTGTCCTACCCAGAAACTCAAACCATGTGGGAGTGGGGTATAGGCTATAGCACACTATTAATTACAAGGGCATGGGTCTTGTAAACTATGCGACATAATGTTACACATTAAGTATATATCTGTCTTTGTCCTAGCACCCTGCCATATGGCATTGTTTCCAATTTTGAGGAATCCATTATGGAAGCAATGTGCATTTGCATTTAAACAAATCTAACAAAGTCCAAACGAAAACACCCTTGTTACTTGCCACATGAATTGGTGTCACCCCACATTCAATTCACTTTCAAGAATGTGAAACTCATATTTTTGGATACATTTCGCTTTCTATTTACTTTAATCGTGCTTGAGCTTAATTACAAGTATTTTATACTTACTAAGTATATTATGCTGTGTAAGAGGTGATTTTGAGCTAAGGAATAATTGTTGAATGAGAACAAACACTTTGGTGCTTTAAAGTCTGAGTAAAAACCTAAGAAATTAAACTAGAATTGAGTTTAGGATTCGATGATCAAGTGACAGTCTCATATTCATATCATAACAAAATATTTATCATGTAACACTTCAATCACAATAGTTTCCCTTTGATGTATTTCTTAATCATGATGTCACATGCTAATCCCTATAATTGTTCATACTTCATAGTAGGCCATTGCGTCTTACCTAAACCAATTATCAAATCTGACTATAATAAACTCACTTGCTTTTAGACCATATTTTCGTTATATTGCATTTTTATTATATAGATGCGAAGTGCAACAATAGTCACTTTTAAACTCGTTATTTAAAATATATTCATAGTTTGTAATGTATTTAAAGATTATCCAATTCACCCAAACTTTAGGACTAAATATCCTGAATTTTTGAACTGCTAATTTGAAATTTAGGACTAAGTGTTCTGAACCACTAATTTAAAATTCAGGACATAAGATTCGAACTTTAGGATACGATATCCTGAATTTTTGAACTGCTAATTTGAAATTTAGGACTAAGTGTTCTGAACCACTAATTTAAAATTCAGGACATAAGATTCGAACTTTAGGATACGATATCCTGAATTTTTGAACTGCTAACTTAAAATTTAGGACATAAGATTCGAACGTTAGGACACAATTTTCGAACTTTAAGACACAATGTCCTGAAGTTTGAATTTTGAGGTTCAAGCTCTAGGATGATGTGTCCTGAAATTTGAACGAAATTGACTAATCTTTAAATATATGGTAAACTGTGGGTATATTTTAAACGACATGCTTAAAAGTGGCTAACTGATGTGATTTCCACCCTTTTATACCACGATCAAACATGAATCATTTGCTCAGAATGCTGATCTTATCCTATTTTTGTTTAAGGGTTAATAATCTATGTAGATTGATCTTATAATAGTGAACAAGATTCGGTTAAATGATTTTGCATTTCAGTACTCTAATTATGATGATCTAAGATCTTTATTCTCTGTGTCTTGTCCATACCTTGACTCACTAATAATGTCCCATATGTTGCAAATTATGATCATGTCTCTTAATTATTTTTCTTCTACATTTTAATTTCAGTATAATCGTAGTTTAAGATTGAGATTTTTGTGCAACAAAAAGTATTATTTTAGTCATGGAGTCTGAATCTGGTCACCCTTTTGAAAACCAAATTGTTGCTACACATTTTAATTCATTAATCAATCATGTCAAATTGTCAATTCCAACAAGCCAACTGGAAACTACTAATGAGATAGGAAAAAAAAAACACAAAACCGGCAGCCTAGAGCTTCGGCTAGTGCCGGTTCCGGGGAATGATTGGACTACAAGGGTCTATTGTACAGTCTTACACTGTATTTTTGCAAGAGGCTGTTTTCACGACTTGAACCCGTGACCACTTGATCGCATGATAACAACTTTACCAGTTACGTCAAAACTAGTCTTCGGGCAAAAACACAAAATAGTTTTTGTAGGGTCCTTTGCTTAATTTGGTTGCCAGACAAAAAAACGCCTGGGGAAAAATAGCAGTTTCACTGCTTGTTATCTCAATAAATCCCAACTACATAAACCCCTCATCTCTTCTCACTCTCTACTTCCTCAACCATTTATCTGTCTATCTCATTCTAGTATTTTGGACAAACACTGTTTGCAAACAGAGAGTTTCATTTACATTGGACTTTAATTGTCAATGGCTAGACCACAACAGCGATATAGAGGCGTTCGACAGAGACATTGGGGTTCTTGGGTCTCCGAAATTCGCCATCCTTTACTGTAAGTAGCCTTCTCCTTTTGAATTAAGCAATCTTTTCTGTTTTCCAATTGAACACTATATATATGCACACACATTCGCACCCATTATGACAAAAAAAAATGGATGCGATCGTAATGCATATCACTTAAAGTTCTGTGTCTGCCTTTGTTTCAAGCTAAACAGCCTCTTGCAGAAATACAAGATAAAACAAACTTCATATAATAGACCCTTGTGGTCCGAACCTTTTCCGGATCCCGCGCATAGGTATACCTGACTGCCTCTGTTTCAAGAGTCAAAGTTATTGAAATTTGGTAACGTAAAAATTAAATGGTATTATTTTGCTTGTAGTAAAACAAGAATTTGGTTAGGAACATTTGAGACAGCAGAAGATGCAGCAAGAGCATATGATGAAGCAGCAAGGTTTATGTGTGGTCAAAGGGCTAGAACCAATTTCCCATACAATCCAAACATGCCACAGACATCTTCCTCAAAGATTCTGTCAGCTAATTTGACAGCCAAGTTGCACAAATGCTACATGGCTTCACTTCAAATGGCCAAAACCTCAGCACAAGAACATAGAATCCAATCTTCACATGTTGATGTACTAAAAAATGCACCCATTCAAGAACATGTTGCCTATGAAATGAAACAACAAATGGTAGTGCCAAAGACATCAGTATTGACACATGAGGAAGCAGCCAACTTGGGAGTAAAGAAAGTTCAAGATGTGGAGAGCATACCACAATTTGTGAAGCCACTTGAAGATGATCACATAGAACAAATGATTGAAGAATTGCTGGATTATGGGTCCATTGAGCTTTGCTCTAATGTTACTTCTCATTAAAAGAAAGCTGAGCGAGCTTACGCCTACCTCGACTATTTCACTGGATACTTGCTACTTTGCTGATGTTCCTCCTCAGTAATCTCATCTCTGGCCTATATTGCTGCTGAACTAGAAACGACCCAATTAGCTAATTTAACCCAATTAGTACAAAGTCTTTTTCATGAGCCTCTCTGTCTAAAATCTATACATCATTAGTAGGTAGGCCTTTCCTTCTCTTTAGTTCCTAGAGTTCTTGCTTTAAGAGAACCTTCTATTAGTTGTAAAATGATGTATGTCCAGTGTATTCTTTCTTTTTTTAGCTCATAGTCTGTACTCTATTCACCGCTCCATTATTGTTAAAAAAAATATTACATGTTACTGCACTACTAATATCATAAGTTTCACATATATATTCCAGAGTACTTCTTTCTTTATTATGACGTATTACATCTATGAGAAATTCAGATTAAATACATAAGAAACCCATAAACTTGTTCGCTTCTTTCATTTGACGCTTGAATATGGACTTGTTCATTACTCAAAATGTATACATATTAGACACTTTTCCCTGACGTGATATGATGTGTATAATACACCTAAACATTTCTGCCTTAGTCAACAAGGACGGTCTAGCCCACATTTGTAATGCCTAACCTCAACTATTAATGAATCACAAATTTGGACCATTTTGCAAAGTTCAGGCAAATTTGGACCAATCCGTAATAAAAGAAAATTTACCTGAGAGGTCTTAGTATAACAACTTCATAACCTAGGAGGAGCAAAGTGTAAACCCATCAAATTAGATAGGAGGCTTGTGCAATACCTTATAATAGAGGTGGCATAAGGATAAAATTTGCAAGTGTCTGTCCATATTATCCGTTCAAAAATAAGTTGAATATCTGATCCGGTAAAAGCGAGTCAAATATGGGTCAACCCATATTATACGCTCAAAAAAAGGATAATCCGCAAGTCAGAAAATGGATTTCGCCCATTGATGAATCAGTGGTACAAACTTGGTGGATTTGTTTTTGGAATCGATCCTTTTACAAATTCGCCATCTTCGACCACCACTGCGATTGAGACTCCAGATCAAAAGCAAAAGTCAAGCTTCTGTTTTTTTTTTCTCTCTTTTCTCTTTTGTTATTTCTCTTTGTTTTCTCGTTTTTGTCATAAGCTAAAGTCTAGCTCTTAGCTGGGTGTAATTATTTGTGGCAGATATTTTCTTCTATTTTTTCCTTAAGCTAGTCTCTTTTTTCTTCTTTTTCATAATTGCTTGATTTATTTAGATAAATACATTCAAAATAAGAAAATGTCCCGTACTTTTTTGGGACAACACATCTAATAATATGCATTAAAGTGGTTGCATCTAAATTTCAAAGGATAATGGTACTGAACAAGCTAAGTTATTATCTATATTACTAGTATCTGGATATGCGTGTATTCCATACGGGATAACCCTTATTTCAAGTGTTAAGTATAAAATTTAAAGGATACCAGAAGTCCAAAGTTGCGCTCTTTTTTAGCATTGATTATAAAATTAATATTTATTATATAAATATATTATTAAATACATCATTATCATTGAATAATACATATGTATATTAATATAAAATAAAATACTAATTTTTAGGTGTATTAACTTACTGTTGATTATGAAATAATGATATTAATTTAATTTAAAAATCGTTATTGAAGCATCTATATAATACAAAGCAAATAGTGATCCAACCTTTGACAAGATTACATTTTTCCTTTAAAAAACATCTAAAAAAATTGAGCAAATACATCTCCTTTGCATAAATTAGTGAATCCAGTGTGATTAGGTGGAAACCAAGTTCCATATAGTTTCTTCTTCAATTAGGGCATCGGAAGAGTAGTTACAAATAATACGGATTCATATTTGTAACACCAATTTTTTGATTGGAATTTCAACTTTGAGTGACTTGGTCTTTTATTTGGAGTACTGGCTCTTCAGCTTCATTTAATTTGGAATTTCATACATTTTGTGAAAGTAATCCCTACATTATTATTCGCCGCATAATATTAACGTTATTATTTGTCGCATACACTACCTGCATTATAATTTCTACATAACCAGTACATGAACCAAACAACCCTAGAGTATTCTCTCTGTTAGATGGCTTCTGTTATTGTGTGGGGAGGAGAGCAGGGGCGGAGCTACAGTAGAGTGTGAGGGTTCGGGCGAATCCAGTAACTTTTTTACGGACCCTGTATTTGTGTTAAAAAATTCACTGCTTTTATATAAATATAGTACGCTGAATCAGTAACAAAAGGAATCTGGGTTCACTGGGTTCAGTGACAAAGGTGAAAGGTTCTGGGTTCCTAGTGAAAACACCTGGGTTCGATATCTTGTTATAGATCAATAAAGACTTCAACTCAGCAACGCAGTGCTGGCCACATACCTAAGAGGCTTTAGGGAAATTAGATCACTTCTCCCTCTGCTTATGAAATTAAAAGACACTGAAATAGTAATTATTATTGTCATGTGTTAAGAAGATACTGAAGTATTTCTTTTTTCTTTGTTTCTCTTTTTCGTTTTCCTTTTGGTCTAAGTGCAGTGGATTTCCAAGTTCCAACTTTAAAGATATTTATGCATGGACTTTCAAATTTGTTTCTCCTCATGTGAGCACCCTCAATTTTGACTCAAATTATGTTGGAATTTTTAGTGTTTCAATTTTTATCTAAATTTTAGCTCCACATAAAATAGAGGCTATTTTTAATGATTTTGTAAATGTTTGCTATGTTTTAATTATTAATCCAAATACTGATTAGCCCACGCTATTTTCACCGCTAAATTTGCCCAATACTGAAGAAAACCTGAGATTTTGCTGAAAGACAATGAAAGGAAAATTATATGGTAATTATGCTAATAAGAGGTACCAGACAACCGCTGAATAAACTAGAGTTAGAACTCTTCGTTGGTAAAATAATTCCAACGAAGATGCGTTCTTTTAATTCTGTTGCGAAACAATAATTCTTTTAAAAACTCCAAAATAGGTAAGATTGAGCATGAGGACATTACATTACATCTGCCTTACTGACCTCAACATTCTTCCACAACAGAGCATTTTTAGGGAGTATTTATATGATGCGTACTGTACATAAAACATGCATCCATATTGTTTCGCAACAAAATTAGACAGTAAGCCTCCATTCCATGGTACATTAATGCTACTCTTCCATGGCTTTTCCTCCAACATCTTCACCCGATGTCTGAAATCAAACAATACCAATGTTAAAAAAACAACACAAGGAGTAATTTCCCTTAAGTAGGACATAAGATGTATAGGTATATCCGTTTTGTTCTTATTGTTTTTTTTTTCTTCTGTTTGAATGTGATGATTCGTCACGAATGGACAGTTAGTCGTCCTATAATTGGTGTAAGCACGTAATTTTTGACCTGTCATGTTTTTTGAGCGATTTTTAATGTTTAAAATATTTATTTAAATTAACTTTAGTTTTTATGGAGTTTGTCGCCTTCAATCAGCAAAAAACGGGACACTATGTCACGGCGGACATGGATGTAACCATTCATCCAACTATCAACCGTCTAACTGCCCTTCCCAAAGTAATAAGGCGTGTCCTCTGCGTCTACGTTATACCCGGTAAGGAGAAGAGCATAGCATGCACACTCAGTCCGAAGTGGGCGCTCATCTGGCCCAGGGGGCCAAACAACCATTTCTCGATGGGTTATCAAGGATGGATATCTTTTTGATAGTTCAGTCGTCCTTATGGCGCTTTTTGTGTCAAGAAATGATCTGTGAAACTGTAGTAAATGTTGATTTTAAGGATTAAAATTTACAAGAATGTGAGGATTAAATTTACTAAATATTGTACTGGTATGAGCAAGATAAAGAAGTAGACAGAAAATATTGAAATTAAATTTAATAAAATATTTATTGTGATGACCCAAAATGTCATTTTTAAATTTAATAATTAATTTTATATTCTAAGACCTCGAAAAATATTATTTATTATTCCTCGAATTGCGTGCGTAATTCGTAAAATTTTTCAGAAAGTTTTCACGTGAAAAATGGATTAAATGTGAATTAGAGCTTTAAAACTCAACTGAGTTGACTTTGGTCAATATTTTGAGCAAACAGACTCGGATCAGTATTTTGACAGTTCCGGTAAGTCCGTATCGTAAGTTGAGACTTAGGCGTATGTCCGGAATCAAATTCTGAGGTCCCTAACCCGAGATATAAAATTTTGATGAAAAATTAAAAGTTTAAGTTCAAATAGTGACTGGATGTCAAATTATGTGCAAACGGCCCCGGAATAAAATTTTGATGATTCCAACAGTTCCGTATGATATTTTGGACTTAGGAGCATGATCGAAATTTTATTTGGAATTCCGTAGTGGAATTAGGCTTGAAATGCCAAAAGTTAATTTTTTTGGGAAGTTTGACCGGTGGGTTGACTTTTTGATATCGAGGTCGGAATCTGATTCTGAAAATTAGAATAGGTCTGTTATGTCATTTATGACTTGTGTGCAAAATTTGAAGTCATTCTGAATTAATTTGATGTATTTCGGCACAAGATATAGAATTTGAAAGTTCAAAGTTCATAGATTTTGATTTGAGGTGCGATTCGTCATTTTGATGTTGTTTGATGTGGTTTGAAGCCTCGACTAAGTTCGTATGGTATTTTGGGACATGTTAGAATAATTGGTTAAGGTCCCGAGGGTCTCGGGTGGATTTCGGAAGGTAAACGGAATAGATTTCGGACAAAGAGTGCTGGAAATTTCTGTTGCAGAAATTTCGCCAGAACTTTTTGGTGCATGAAGCCAGCTTTGGAAGCTTATATCTCGCATTTCATAAGGAATCAGAAAATTTGCAAAACATGAAAGTTGTAGTCGTTTGATTCTAATTTCCAGAAAGTTAAACCATTCATTATTTGGATATTTGTACAGAAAGTTATGACTGATTGAATGAAGGCTGGTAGAGCAATTTTGCCAGAAATTGGCGAAATTTCTGATGCGTGGAGCTGACTTTGGAAGCTTATATCTCGTAATTCATAAGGATTCGGAAAATTTTCAAAACGTGAAAGTTGTAGTCGTTTGATCTAATTTCCATAAAGTTAAACCATTCATCATTTGTACATTTGTACATAAAGTTATGATCGATTGAAGGAAGGCTGGTAGAGCAGTTTCTGGTGGACATTTAGTGATGGAAAATGGACTTTTAGTGATGGATGGACAGAAACTTAAGGACCAAAAATGGTCATTCCCTTCATTTCATTTTGGATTTTTGGAGCACGATTCTTGGGCGATTTTCACGGAAAAACATTGGGGTAAGTGTTCCTTATCCTATATTGATTATATTTCATGATTCCATACTCATTTACATCATGAATCCGTGAATTTATGGAAGAAAAATCAAGATTTTTG